CCCGCACAACGGCACTTTCCTTCGCTGCCGAAATAGACGGACATGTCTTGGGCACGCTATGTGCAGTGACAATGGCGTTGCTCACCAATCGGCTAGACCTGTGTATTCAAGGACTTTTTGGTGCAGGCAATGTCAAAATCGATGGCAGTCCTCATCCTTGCCTTGATTGAAATCGACACCACCGACAGCCTTAAGATATTGTTTATATGTAAGGAAAACTCAGGCACTCGATCCTTTGCTGACCTGCTCCTATGGCTCGACCCCCCGTCGGGGGTGTTTGGGCGCATAGGCAGGTTAGTGGGGGACCAAGAACGTAACAAGAGCAGTTACTCCCGCACCAAATTCGATATTCATCCGAGAGAAAGAAGGCAAATGCTGAGCAAGTGCCAGCTAGTTTTGGCCACAGGAGGTACGGTAGCCCAAGATCTCACCATGCAATGGTCCACGCTGGGAGGCTTCATGCAAGAGCTTTCCCTCATGGTCATTGATGAAGGTCAACAATATGGCACTGACCGGGAAATTGCAGTCATCAGCCTGATGAGACAACAACCCCTAGTCCTGTGGACGGGAGATTCAGAGCAGACGCCAGGAGGTATTGATCGAGCAGCCCGTAACGCCAAACGATCCCGGCAACTCCTCTTATCCAAAAAACATGGGCTGCGAAGTGACCGCAATTATTATATGCCAGCTAATTTAGCAGATGCAATGATTCGGCTATTTGACGGCTCATCCAATGAAGGTCTAACTACCCTCAGCCAAATCCTCCGTCGAGGCCAGCACACGTTGGGTCAGCTATGGACAAGCCAACTCTCGCCACAGGCTACCGAAGACCTGAAGGCGGCTAATGCTGTCCTCCCAGGCCTGAGAGCACAATTTGAAGCAGCCCAGCCACATGAGCAAAGACAACTCCCCACATTCGTGGACACGAACTACTGGCAGGCACAACAGTCAACTTTCCACGGTCCCTGGTGCGCCTTGCCTGGATGTTGCAGCATGCTGCTACCCTCCTACCCATGGCCGGTGACATACAAGCGGTTTTAAACTCCCAGACCGCCGGAGTGAGCGACATCCATGCCTGGGGATTGATGCTCCCGTCTAGCTCAAGAGTTAGCCCTGTGACATATCACTCAGTAGTAGCAGTCAGATACCCTGATCTTTGCAGACTCATCAACGACATGTGGGAACTTGGAAGTTTTGCCTCCGGAGGACTTCCAGACCGGCCACCGGGGTTCCAGTTCGTGCTTTGGGACACCAATGCTAGAATTAATGGGCTAGTAGCGACAGACCTAGAGACGCTCGTGTCAGAAGTGCTCTCCCCCTTCCCCAGGAATGCCGGGTTTGCCGATGGGCTCTTCGTAATGACCACTGCAACAGACCACAAGAATAACTTGAACCGTTCAGTGCTTAAGAAGGATTATGCCCGCACTCTCCGTGTAGAAACAATAGCCAACTCAGCAGGAGGAACAGCACAAGTAGCAATCGTAGCCCAGCCCAGTATTGGATTCCTGAACACGAAGTACTACTCCAACGGTTCCCCTACGGAGGATACGGAAGACTGCCTTGGCCGAATCACTGTCGGACTCACCCGCTCAAAATCCTTAACCCTGTTGGTCTCCCCGTTAGACATGATGGGGCTTATGGGCATGGCTCAGGTGGTCGCGACCATAGCATATGGCATCCGAGGCCTTCGAAGAGGAGAGACGACATGGGAATGGCCTGACTTCGATGCCAACCCAGAACAAGAGAATCTTGCACAGATGAGTAGATGGTCGTTGAACTCAACACCCGCATGGGAATTCCCTCCCCTCGCAATCGCAAACCAATACCAGGACCAACAAACCAACGAGGTGAAGCGAGCGAGATACCGTCTGATATTGGTTCGAGGGTCAGATCTTGGGTGGCTGAGCAGAGATCGCCTCCAAGAAGTCAAGACAGGCCTAGCAGCTCAACATAAATGGATCCCTGTTCAGAATCTCCCGTTCCCGGAAGTTGTCCTGTATGCCTATGCGGCTGATCGCACACCCTTTCCCACATATGTATGCCTGCCTTCAGGATTGTACAAGGCGCGTACTGGGCAGGTTGTGGCGCAGACCGGCCCAGATCAGGAAATCCTACCCTTGTCAGGTATATACTTCTTTGATGGATGGCGGGTACACCCAACGCTACCAATCCCCGGCCACCTGCCACGCACTAAAGAAGCGCCAGTCCAAGATATCGCTCCGACTGCACCTGCACCTGGTACAGAACCAACTCGGTCGCCGGAAGAAGAAGCGAGAGACATCCTTGCGACAGCCGCTAAGAATCAGGCCGAAGATGGGCCAAATACAAGGAGGGCAGCAGTCCGCGCATGCAAGTACTTAAGGGCTATGGTCAACCAATATGAGTCCACCATACAAGAAGTGCACAAGGCGGCCCGCATCCACACACAAATGAGCAAGGGCACAGCAGGGGCAACTGCAGATTATCGACCACAAGGAGGGGCGCTCCCAGTTATATCCCCAGAACTAACTTCAGAGTTACTGCATTGCTTATCCACGCTACCCGACCCATGGCCCCTGGCTAAGATCACGATCGATATGGAGAAACCAAGCCAGTGGGTTTCCAAATTGTGCCGACTCTACTTTGCTGACGAATATGCCAGGCGAACAGTCGGATTGCCCTCGGCTACACATGTCCCAGACATTGAGACAGCGCTCCAGGCGGTCCAGAAAATCCTCCCAAAGCTTGAAGCAAGGATGATTGAATTTTTGGCCGAATGGTTAGTCACCTTCCTGATACCAGCAACGCACGTATTGGAAGTGAGGGCACCTCATCTTTCCTTTATGTTGCTCAAAGAATACTGGTTTAGAGAACTATACCTCGGCCTAAAAGTCACAGCATCGTTTGACCGCTCCGAATCGTACACACGAGTCATAGATGGTCAAGTGAGATGCATCACTCCTGAAATTAAGCCGCAGAACCTGCAGGTCATCTGGAACGTTCAGTTTATCACTGTTTTTGTGCCCGCATGGATGATCCCTCCTGTCTACCACAGCCTGCGCAGGGAAAGCATCAAGAACGCAAGTTCCGCCAGTACAATAGGTGTCCAGTCGGTCCGCCCCACCTGGTTTGAAGACATCGCGGTGCCCAAAGAGACTACGCCTCAACCAGACCAAGGGCAGCCCCAACCGCTACACGGTCTTAAATTAGTCATTAAGGAAGAGGTGCTACCGATGAAAGACCAACCGGAATTCCCAGCACTAGCATTACTGGCCGCGCGTGGCTTGCTCGCACCAGATACATGGAAGTGCAAACGTGCGCAGGTTAGCCTCAAGGCAACAATTGATGTCCCTATGCTAGGCACAATCATCGAGCAAAATGGTGATGGGCTTCTAGAAGACTCCCACATGCCAGTGGGATGGCCACTGCACATCGATGGTGCCGTTAGGCAATGTTGTATTCACCGATCTGCGACCCACCAAGAACTTGATGACATGCTGAAAGAATATGACATGAAAAGAGATTCAGTTGAAATAAACCATGACGCACCCCAATGGTCTCACAACGCAGTATGGAACAGAAGGTACATGGAACCGAAGACAGGATACACGCTGCGGCAACTCTGGGCTGATTCCGAGCCGGCCATTGGGCAGAAATCTTCCCCTTCTTATGAAGTCAAAGATGGTGACATTTCACGTGCAGTAGCCGCTATCACAAACCTGCCGTCTTCCACGCTGCCTGACAGTCCCTTCATCCGTGCATTGGGGACACCGGCAGCTCAAAATGCCCCACCACAAACTGGCACCCTGGCGCAAAGAGCCCTGGAGGAATGGGAACGCACCCTGTGCGAAAACAAGGCGGTGGCAATTCTTGCACAGATGCAAGCCGGCCGGCCGGCCCTCATCCAGAAAGATGGCGGAGAAATGCTCATTGCCATTGTCCTTGACAGGCCACTGGCGGAAGCGAAGGCACTAGTGGACGACCCTGCAGCTTTCACTCGCGAAATGACTAGGATTCTGCTTGCAAAGCAAAGCCATCCACTTATCGCGCAAATGATCAAACCAGCAGGAAGTGGTGACCCACCCCCCTCAAGTAGCACAGCCAGTAGCACCGGCAGCCACGAACACCCCAGCGCCAGTCAGCCCGTGCAGTTCCAGTAGTCTCACACGGTTAACGTGTGGTACCCACGGTTGCCACACAGGACAGGGAACCACTGTGTAGATGAGATTTTTCACCCAACGTGGTGATAACTCTTTATTTCCTGAATCTAAAAATGCGTGTGCCTGAATGCAGGCTAAACGTCATATGTGGACCACTCAAAGTTTTTATTCTCAAATGTGAACACTGTAAAATTTAACAGTTCAACTTTTGTCTTGCAACGCCTTCTGAACATCTGTTTTATTTACAAACTTGTTTGTCGGCATTCCTCTGCATGTTTACATGTTGAATGACGTCTATTTTTTCCCACAGTATTTTGTTCAAGAGGTGGGTGGGTGGGTTTCGCGTTTTTTACAACGCCATGTTTGAAATTTGCTGAGTGGGGTTCTATCTGTATGGCTGAATTTTTCGACGAGGTGATCAAGGACGTTGAGTTGTATCAAACTGGGTCTGGAGCAGACACACCTGAACCTGTTCCAGCGGCCAATGTACGTGATGACAGTTTTGTTGATTCTTTGACAGTTTGGAGTCAGACACATACAGATTTACAGAATCCTGCTCACAGATGTACAATTTCGAAATCTGATGAATTTTCCCATGATGTACAAGTTGAGACACCTTTGCCTGACGCTGCAGGTGAGAATGCAACTTGGACCGGACTTCAGGTTGACCGCGCCTTGCAGGAAGCGCACTTTGTCAACAGTCGGAATGCTGGCCAGAAGCTACCCTGGGAGACTGGAGTGTTTGCCACAATTTTTGATAGCAATGACAATTTTCTTGCATCTAATTTGAATCTGTGCCCGCTGCCTCCTGACATTGAGGCTTCACAACCAGTCGAGTCACATGATGATGTTCTGCATAGCATGCCAAGTAGGATTTTGAAACGTGATCGAACTGACAATATTTTTGCACAGGTTGTCAAGATGAAACGTGATGTTGACCACCTCACATCAGTTGCAGAGCTCTGGTCAAAGGCCCTGAAGAAGTGGCACACAGTGCTGGCGTGTGCCGGCTATGCAGGCTTGGTTGGTGCAGCAGTCAAGGACGCAGTGAGTGATGACAAGGACTATGGTGGTATACTCAGAGATGTTTTTGGCAACAAATCCCCACGTACTGCAAACAAACGAGCATCCACTATGTTGGCACTTTTTTCTTGGCTTGACAAGAAGAGTTTGTGCGTGTGGCCAGTGAGATCTGACTATGTGGCAGCGTATCTCAACGAGTCGAACGTGCATGGAGCTGGCAGCACAAAGGGTAAGACACTGATGGAAGCCTTTCGTTTCTGCAAGCATGTTATGAGGCTACCTGGACTGGATGACATCATCGATGACCCTGTACTGTCAGGCAGAGTGAGGCGTATGGATGCTGCACGTGATACAATTAAGCAAAGTCGCCCACTGAAACTTTCTGAGGTAAAGTTCATAGAGGAGTTCATGATGTCAGACTTGAATGTTTTTGACAGATACATTGCAGGCTGCATTCTGTTTGCCATTTACAGCAGGTCCAGATGGTCAGATTTGGCTTTCCTCAGTGACCTGTGTTTGGATACGGCCGAGACGGAACTAGGCCTTGTCGGCTTTGTGGAAGGTTCAACGAAGTTCCAGAAGACTGGCTCAACTGCGCTGAAACGTGCAATGCAGATGCCTCTGGTGGCACCGATACGTGGAGTGACTGACAAGAGTTGGGCAGTTGAATGGTTCAACATCCTCAAACAAGTGCAGTTTGATACATCAGCAAAACCTGTGGGGGCGATTTGCAGACCCCCCACAAATGGGACACTGGGCACCCGGCATCTCTCTTCAGAGGAGGTTGGAGATTTTCTCAACCATATGCTGGGTCTACATGGTGAGAACGTCGTGACAAGTCATTGCATGAAGGCCACAACATTGACCTGGTGCGCAAAGTATGGGCTGGATGAACCAGCAAGGACTTTGCTGGGCCATCATGAGCTGCAATCTCAAAGCCTAGCGTGTTACTCGCGTGACATGCTTAGTCGTCCCTTGGCGCTCTACGAGTCCATGCTGCTGAACATCAGGACAGGTCATTTCCTTCCAGATGAGACGAGGTCTGGCAGGTTTCTACAACGCAAGCCTGATGCTGCTTCCATGGTTTCAGATGAACCCAATCGAGCAAAAGTCAAGTTGGAGACTTTTGCAAGTGGATTTGGATTGGACGACCAACAACAAGTGGACTGCATTGATGGTGTTGTTGATTTGGTAGATGATGATTTGCCATTTTTCAATGAACACCACAGTGAAGCAGACGCTGAGTGTGAGGTGCAGTCACAGTCGTCTTCAGGCGATACAAGCAGCAGCTCGTCCAGCTCTTCAGCGTGTGAAGAGCCCTTGCAACAGAAGTACGCTCTGGCGGTGAAACAAGAGATTGTGATGAGCCAGTGTATCAACACAAGAAAAGCAGAGTGTTGCACAGGCCCAACAAGGTAGCCGGGCTACTGGCGTGTGGCAGGAGAATTGGCAGTGGTTACAACTTTCTGGAGCATGGGGCATCGTTCAAGTGGGCGAGATGCTCATTGTGTTTCAAGGGCGAAGTGATTACCAAAGTGCAAGACCTAGCAGATGCCATGGCAGCAGCCCATGCCAGGCGAAGTGCTCAGTCGTGAATCTCATTTGCAGTGATTCTGGTTTTCTGCTGGGAAATGAATTTCATTACATGTCTTTACTTTGCGTGATGTCAACAAGATTTGAATTATTCCTTTTGCCGGTGTCCTGTCAGCAGACATAGGGACGCTCTGAACAGTAGCCAGAAACCAGTTTGCACCTCAGCTGTGGCCTTGGAAAATTATGCGGCGTTTCTTTGAGACGAGAACATCAGATGTCATATGTTGTCTTGACTGCAAGGCAATTTTGAGAATGCTCATGGTGTGACCAAAATTAGCTACGTGTGTTTTGCAAAAATTTGTTGTTGCAGACAACAAACTCTAAGGGCGCGAATAAGCAGCCTTATTCGCGCCCTTTGATTTTACCGTTTTTCACAAGAACATCAGATGTCATATATATGTTGTCTTGACTGCAAGGCAATTTTGAGAATGCTCATCTTGACTGATGAAGTCAATATATAGCCGTGAGTGCACGGCAAAAGAAACTCATAATGATGAGTCATATAACATGCCAGTTTGTCTGAGTGCAGAAACATGTCAAACTGGATTTCAGGTGCGTTAACGTGATGCATAAATGACAGGTTGTATGCGTGGCCACGGCTCCAGAGTGCAGATGTGCACACAGGGGTGCAAACATTGTGAAAACAGCCTTCATTTGATTTCATGCTACTGTTCTGCGTTTATTTGATTTTTTAAATCTTCTGATTATAGTCAACCGACAATGCCAATTTTTGCAACTGTCACAGACTCCTTTTCCGATTCCATAACTTGGAAGATGCTTCAATTGCTTGTCAGTGCATGTGTACCTTACTTTTGTTTGACACATTTCGATCGAGTGTGGCAGCATGGCTAGCAACACCCTGCTCGAGTCAGTGGCAGCTTTTGAGTCACAAGCCAAGCGTGCAGGGCTCAATGAACAGTGGATTGAAGCTTTTGGCAGAAATGACTTGAACAAGTTAGGAAGACTTGCATATGCTGTAACTACACCTGGTGTTGCTCCTACTACGGAACAAGTGACAGAGTTCATGAACCAGTTGCGTTTTGGAGTAGGCCCTACCCTTAGTGAAATCACTGCTGTGAAGCGTGTCGTGTTTGAAGCACAGACCTTGACGATTGCAAGCTTGAGATCAACTGTGCACTCTCCTGATGATGCCAGTACACGTAGGGTAGCACCTGCTGAGCGATCGGCTCGTCTTGAAGCCCAACGCTTACGACTTCAAGGCCTGGAACTGTCTGGACCTATGGAACCCAGTCATTGGCTATATGATCAGTTTTCAGCAATGCTTGAAACCGGTGAGCTCAAATACATTGCTCCAGGCAAATGCATGACACGTCAACAGGAACTGGCAGGTGAAAGGCCAGACAAGCAGATCAAGTTGGATGAAACTCGCAGCAGCCTTGTGGTCAAAGACCGACCGCAAGATCAAGAGGCCGACATTACAAGTGATCTCAGTTTATTGCAAGCCATGACTCGCCGTGCATTGGCTATGGACTTGGTGGGGATAGCTTCATTCAATACGGTCATGAAGTTTGTGAACCGTCTGTTCACCCTGTTGACCCAGGCACCAGCGCCTGGATTTCAACGTCCAGGGCATGCTCAACTGTTGAGAGCAGATCGCCAGGCGTTTATGAGGTTAGCAGAGACAGTACAAGCCCCTTTCCATGTCAATGCAGCAGGTGTCTTGCCTCTTGATTTAGCGTTTGATCAATTGCACAATGATGTCACAGTGACTTACCACATGTTACCTGTGCCCTTGGGTCGCCAGCGAGATGATGATAAGAAAGCAGACCCAGCCAATACAAAGACCAGAAAGCCAACCAGCAAGCCTGGCGGTAATCCTGGTCCCAAGGGCAAAGGAGGAGGTAAAAGCAAGCGTCAACCCATGCCACAGCAGCTTCATGGGATGCATCACAAGACACCAAGTGGAAAGGCGATTTGTTTCAATTTCAATTTGGGCAAGTGCAAAGACAAGAAGTGTCCTCGTGAACACGTATGTTGCATGCCTGGATGCTACAAGAACCATCCTCAGACTGAACACGAAGGACAATGAAAGCAGGATGGCAGAGGAATCAAAAGGGATGTTGGGCAGTGCTCTACGATTGACATTGAGCCTAAGTTGCCAACTAATGATAGAGCGGTGCGCTCCCCTAGCAATATTCCTCTCGAAGGCTGTTTTTGTATAGAACTGTTTTGCGGGACCGCTGGCCTCACTGCGTGCATTAGGACACTTTTTCCTGACAGCTTTGGAGTTGATCATAAAGTGAAACACCCCAAGAGCCAGGTGATTTGTCTGGACCTTCAGAAACCTGAAGTGCAAGAAATGGTCATGCAATGGGCGTCAGATCCCAAGTGCGTGTGGCTTCATTTTGGAGTGCCATGCGGCACTGCTTCCAGAGCAAGGGAGCGTAGGATGTCAAAGACACATTTTGGGCCAAGACCGATGCGGTCGAAACATTTCCCAGATGGTCTACCTCCACACTTGCTAAATCAGAATTCGCGTGATAGGCTCAGAGCGGCCAACAGGTTGTATCACTTCATGCAGAAGCTCATTTTGAGCTTGCCATCCACAACAGTCTGGACCATAGAGAATCCCCTCCGAAGCTGGCTTTGGCAAACCTCTTACTTTCAGGCTATCAAAGAGCAGATACACGTGTTTTTCTTTCAATTTGATATGTGCATGTTTGGTGGTCGTCGCTTGAAACGAACTGGCATCGCCACAAACTGTGAGAATGTTCAATCTTTTGCAATGCAATGTGATGGTTTACATGAGCATGCGCCATATGAATTCCGCAATGGCCAGTTTGACACTGCATTAGAAGCTGAGTATCCGAAAAGCTTTTGTGAAGCGTTGGTGCGCGGAGTGACCGAGCACTTACAGAAACTCCATAAATGGGGGCCACTGGACTTAGCCAAACGTGTCAAACTTGCAAGATCTGCAGCTGTGGCTACTAACCAGCAGCCGAAGCGTATGCCGCAGCTTGTACCAGAATTTGAGAAAGTACAACAAGTACTCCATGTACCCAAAGACCTTGCAATTTCTCTGGATAACAAGCGAAATACAGTACAATGCCATATTTTTCAATGCGATAATGTTGAAGTTTTCATTCCATGCAAAACTCGGATGCTTCGCCGCACTCCTCAAAAGGGGTGTTCCAGTTGCGGCGGTGACCAAGTTAGCAATACAGTGTCGATGGACTTACTACAGGCCAGTGCAACACAAAGCCTTGTTGTCAACAAAATGGCGGTGGCAGACAAAAATGTCAAAAACTGTACCCACTGTGCAAGCACCGTGCGTGTGGAATGCAACAAAAATCTCGAAGGAGATGAAATCATTTTTGGGATGTACTGGTCACCTGAACAATTTTTGGCACAAGTGTCGCTTGCGGGACACCCACAACATTTGATGTCAGGAATTTCTGAAACTATGCAAGTTGCAGTGGACGCCAACGTGCACTGGCCGTACCAGGACATTGTCATTCACAGGTGCAAATGGTTTGGAAAGTATTTGCCTATGGCGGCTGCGTTGAAGGATGAAGAAGCCACCATCCTATCTGCAATGCCCAGGCCTATGAGGGCCATCATGTCTACAAAGCGCATTGCGCTACTGGAGAAGATCCTGCAGGATGCATCCTACCCGGACATGGGCTTGGTGAATGATCTCAAAAGAGGCTTCGATCTGGTGGGTGAACTCCCCACCGCAGGTGGGATGCTACCTTCGAAGCTTGTTCCTGCAACTATGGCGGTAAGAGAGTTGGGTTCCAATGCTGGCAGGGCCCGCTATGCAATAAGAGCTTCCAATGCGTCGTGTGGTGACCCCTCCCTTGATGAGCAACTCTACCAGAAGACTTTGGATGAAGTGGACAAGGGGTGGCTCCTGGGTCCGCTGGCGTGGGACTCATTGGAGGAAAATGCCGTTGTTTCAAAAAGATTTGGTTTGCAACAGGGTGACAAACTGCGCCCTATAGATGACTATAGCATGAGCTCAGTGAACGCAACGGTCACAGCCAAGGACCAAGCTACTGCAGACAATGTGGACGTCATATGTGCAATGTTGCTTCAACTCATGGCTGGTTTGCGTGGGCAAGGAAAAGGTACTGAATTGAGAGCCAGGTCTTTTGATTTGGCGGCTGCGTATCGACAGTTGTGTGTGGCTCCAACCTCCAAGCCTTTCTCATACATATGTGTTTACAACCCGCGCAACAAGACCAATGAAGTCTTTTCACAAGTCTGTTTGCCTTTTGGGTCCAAAGCTGCTGTGAATGCGTTCATAAGATGTTCTCGGTGTATACAATGGCTTGCTTGCAGATGTTTGCTTCTACCCACAACATGCTACTATGACGACTTTGTAGTTGCAGCCACCCCTCAACTGCAGCGGAGCAGTGAATCATCAATGTGCCTGCTTTTTGAATTGCTTGGCTGGGCCTACGACAAGGAGGGGCCCAAAGCGGACACCTTCTCGGAACTTGTTTCTTCTTTGGGAGTCTCAATTTCGTTATCCAAAACTGCTGTGGGTGAGGTTGAAGTCATGAATACGGAGAAACGCAAAAAAGACCTGGTTGAATTGATCTCCAATGTACTTTGCAAGGGTTCATTACAATACAAAGATGGCCAGGTCCTCAATGGCAAGTTAGCCTTTGCGCATGGTCAGATTTTTGGGTTAGCTGGCAAGTATGTTCTTCAAGCTGTGTCTGACCACATTTACGCGAAGCCTTTCAAAGCATGTGTGAGCGATGATTTGAAGCATGCCTTGCAATTTTTTCAGGGCCGTTTAGTTACAGGTTTGCCAAGGTCCATCAACATGGCCACCAAGCACACTCAATTTATTCTGACAGATGCGTGCTTCGAACCTGACATGACAGGTGGCATAGGTGGGGTACTTTGTAACCCTGCAGGTCAAGTTGAAGGATGGTTCCAATTGAGATTGGGACAGAGCGAAGTGAGGCCTTTCATGACTCAACACCAAGAGAATGCCATTGCTGAATTGGAAACCTTAGCAGTGGTCATTGCGATGAAACTGTGGGCACCCACGATCCGCTCACAGCATGTCGTTTTTTGTCTTGACAATGATGTTTCCAGGTTTGGACTGATAAAGGGCTATTCCAATGCCCCAGGCGTTACAAGCTTGGTAAGACTTGCCTCGGTGATCTGCGAGGAAAACATGGTACTGCCTTGGTTTTTGCGTGTCGCTTCACCTTCAAACATCGCTGACTTTCCCTCACGCCTCCAGAGGCATTTTTTACTCAGTACCCGAAAAATGATAGCACCAAACGATGTTCATGGAGCTTTTCAATATGTGCTGGAGTTTGTGTATCGAACCCATTAATGAATGGGGGGGATTCATGGGTCCGGACGAAGGATGGCAGTGCAACTCCATTTCAGCTCAGAAAAAAGGTGCTGCAGTTTTCCGTTATCAGTTGTGCATTTTGTCTGTGGTCACTTTCAGCATGTGCAGTTTTTTATTATGTTTTTATTTATATGCGATGTTTACGTGACGAATGCGTTTCGTACTTCCGTTTATGGCACGTTTATTTGCGAACTACCTACGATGGGTAGTTGTGCTGTCTCATCTTTACTTCCTTTTATGGCGTTGCTTTTAACTTTGATGGTCCTTTTTTATGTGAAAGGAAATAAGAGATTTTTCACCCAACGTGGTGATAACTCTTTATTTCCTGAATCTAAAAATGCGTGTGCCTGAATGCAGGCTAAACGTCATATGTGGACCACTCAAAGTTTTTATTCTCAAATGTGAACACTGTAAAATTTAACAGTTCAACTTTTGTCTTGCAACGCCTTCTGAACATCTGTTTTATTTACAAACTTGTTTGTCGGCATTCCTCTGCATGTTTACATGTTGAATGACGTCTATTTTTTCCCACAGTATTTTGTTCAAGAGGTGGGTGGGTGGGTTTCGCGTTTTTTACAACGCCATGTTTGAAATTTGCCCGCCCTCCCAAAACCCCTTTTTATACGTACCATCAAATGTGATGGTCTCTTTTTCCTGTATGCAGGTATGCTTTTCACTGACTTTTCACCTTTATTCCATCCCTCCGGACGAAGGATGGCAGTGCAACTCCATTTCAGCTCAGAAAAAAGGTGCTGCAGTTTTCCGTTATCAGTTGTGCATTTTGTCTGTGGTCACTTTCAGCATGTGCAGTTTTTTATTATGTTTTTATTTATATGCGATGTTTACGTGACGAATGCGTTTCGTACTTCCGTTTATGGCACGTTTATTTGCGAACTACCTACGATGGGTAGTTGTGCTGTCTCATCTTTACTTCCTTTTATGGCGTTGCTTTTAACTTTGATGGTCCTTTTTTATGTGAAAGGAAATAAAGGTGCTGTCACCATGGGGTACCCATGGTTGACTACTGCCTGGTGGAGCTGATTAGGTGGTAAGCTTGCCTGTGTAAGTATGGGAAGGGAGGAAGGGGGAGGGGGACAATTGTAACATTTTTAATGGGCCACTATATATATCTAGTTACTGGTAGCGTAGGACGATGTCAAAGTACATCATGCCATGGCGCCCGTTGCTGTTTTGCTCAGCTCAATCCAGTACCTTCACTGCTCGAATGCCGCCTGGCCATATGAGTACAGCGCAACCGAGTGATTTGGCATGCCTGCCTCAAGAACCCCAGAGTCACAATGAGGCACAAGATCTCCTCCTTTTGCAGGACTATGTTTGCAAACTGACGCACACCCTCAGAACACTGGAAGACACCCATGCCTTATTGCAGCAAACAGAACTCCTTGCAGGCGTCATCAACGAGCAAGATTGCAGAGCCATACGCGCAGCCTGCTGTTGCATAAGGAGTCTGCGCATCCGTGTAGAGGCCCGAGCCAATGTTACAGAACGTGAAGTTATAAGTCGACAGCTACAGCTCATGCAAGCGAGCGTACAACATTACCCGACAGAGGACCTCAACACAGCTGACACAAGTTGCCTGTCCAGAACCTCGGCTGAACACTTTGATGACAGACCTGGTCCCTGTTCTGAGGAAAACGCTCGCATCCCTGTATCAAGGTGACTGAGCCAGCTACCATGGTCAACCGGCCGCATCAAATGCAACTGGCTGCAACGCCTGCAAGTTGACCGCTCGAGGAGCTCCACGCTTGCAAGCCTGCATCAATGCTGTTGAGCTAGCGATCCTCGCTAACTCGATCGCATTGGATTCAGTTTTGAAAGCGGTATGCACCGCAAGAGTGCACTACTGCTCCCAATGATGATGATGCTTGGAAAAGAACAACTGAGCGGACTCTGAGTGTGCCCTGAGTGCCGTAGCTATTGCTGTCATTCTCACCTTAGATCTTGTTTCACCTTCCTGTTTCACCGTTTTTTCGTTTCTCACCACTCTCGTTGCGACCCGGCGTTGTCGGTGTTTGCTTCGAAGTGCCAGGGTGTAATGTCATGCCTGTACGGCTGCTCTTTGTGATCTCGGGGATCCTGGCTGGGGGGATCCCTGGTTTCCGCATGGAGCTTTGTTGCTTCTCTCACCCACCAAATGGCCCATTGGTGTGTTTTGTGGTTCCTCTGTTTTGCTTCTTGTTTTGGGCCATTCTCAAATGACACATAAGATGTCATCATGCATGTAATTCCCATTGCTGGTGGCGATCCCACTTCTCTGTGTCGTTTTTGTTTTGGTTTTGTTGTGGTTGTGTGTTTTTTGCCTGTTTTTGTTTTGTTGTTTTTGGTTTGCTTTCTTTTCTGTTTCCTTGCTGGGACAGCTTCTGGACTGCGTACTGGTCCACTACCAGCACTTTTGTGGCTGTCGACAAGTTAACAGCCCTGCATGTAAATTACAATTCAACTGTTTGCCGCGATTGAATGTGTGTAACGACCTGGAGGAAGCCATGAAGGCGTTGGACGGAAAAAAAGATATGTTGGATGTGCTTGATGGCCCACCAAGAGATCATCTGCTCCAGATCCCTGCTGGCCAACCTTTCAGGTTGTGCCTATGGCACACATTGGCGCAGTTTTTGTCAGACCCTGATGCGGACTTTCTCCTAAACCTGGTGCATGGAGTGCCATTAGGGGTCAATGGCCATCTTCGGCATGGCATGTTCATAATGGTATGGTCTCCGATCCGGAACTTGCTGGTATGTCATGACTCGTGGAAGAGTGCCTATGACCATCCCGCTATTGTTGAGGACCTTATTCAAGAAGAACTGGCTGCGGGTTTCATTGCTTTGGTCCCTGGAGGAGTACCTGAGTTACTTTTGTGGCTATCGACAAGTAGACAGCCTTGCACGATCATTACAATTTATCTTTTTGCTGCGTTTGAACGTGTGTAACGACCTGGCGGAAGCCATGAAGGCGTTGGACGGAAAAAAACCCTGGAGGAGTACCTGAGTTGCAGGAACAGCACCAACGGACTGCAGTTGGGAAGTTAGGGGTGGTCATTGCGGAGGGGCGCTCCCCTCGGTTGGTGGTAGACAGCTCCATCAGCAACGTGACCTCCAATACAGTCATCCCCAACCATATGACTCTCCTTCGCATATCCGATGTCATGGAATGTGCTCCAGACACTATGGCGAGACAGCAGATGATCCAACTTACCTTGGACGTCTCCAAAGCTCATCGCCGCATTCTCATCGACCCCAAGGATGGTGGAATGTTGTGTTTTCATGCCAACGGCAAACTGTACCGTTGCATCACACTGAACTTTGGAGCGAGAGCTAGTGGATGGTATTGGGGCCGGGTTGCTGGATTGATGGTCCGTACAAGTCACGCACTCCTTGCCCATCGCCATGCATTGTGGCAATACGTTGATGATTTGTTGGCATGGTTGGACAGAATTTCGTCCCCCTTGTGGGCCTCGCTCTTGGTTGTGCTTTTCCTCATCTTGGGAATTCCAATGTCTTGGCACAAGGCGGTGCTGGATGTTGAAGTCGACTGGATCGGGTGGCGCATTTCAGTGCTGACATGGTCGATATCAATTCCAGAAGAGAAGCTTTCAAAGATTGTGCAACAACTGCACAAGCTGACTGACTCCACTAGAGTGCCGCTCAAAGACATGCAATCCCTTGTGGGCCGCCTGCTTTGGCTCACATCTGGATGGCATTTCCTCAGGCCTTTGCTCATCCCTTTATATAAGGCTCTCCATCACATCCCCACGACCATGGTGGGTATGGATCATGTCACATACAAACAGTGTTTGAATGCGTTGTCACCACAAATGACGCTCACAACTGACTTCACCCACAGACATCAATCACTGTGTCAGCAAGTCAAGTTAGTGCGGGTGGCCAACACGCATGTGCACACCTTGGATGAGGCATTCAAGCTTCACATCAGATCACGTCGAGTTTGGATCGGTATACAGGATCCGACATCACCTTCTCGCGCACTGGATGATGAGGCTCGTGAAGCTCTGCGTTTATGGGCGAAACTCCTTGTGTCTACCTCCTTTTCGCTGTCTATGTCTCTAGCGGCCTTCTTGAACGTGACAGCCACCGCAGACGCAATGGCATCTCAATCCATGGCTGGTTTTGGAGGAGCTGCATTTTTTCCAAACGGCACTTGTGTTTGGTTTCAGTTCCAAATCACACTGGCCCAGGCCCAAGAGCATTGGCACTGGGTCGGTATGGACATGCAGAAACATATCGCTGCGTGGGAGCTTTTGGCACAGTTCGCTCTTACAGTCTGCATTGAATCCCTGCTACCCCGTGGTAGGGGCCCAGTCGCATGCCAACAGGGAACGGACAACAGTGCAGCCGATGGAGCCTCAGCGAAAGGATTGTCAATGACAACAGCGGTATCTGCAGTTCTTGCACCATACTTTCAGTTCATGAGGCGCTACCACATGTTTCCCAAGATGACTCACGTGCCTGGTCACTTGAACATCATTGCAGACTCGTTGAGTCGATTCAAGCAGCCCCTTCCTGAACCACTCACAGTGACTGATCACTGTGTAGTGCGGTGGCAGGAGCTCCTTGTGTCTTCTCCAGTCTGCATAGCCCAGACTGGTCGAAAGTGGCCTTCCAAATTTGGCGTTGACATAAAAAAGTGCTGCAGCAGTCCGCAGACTGTGGGTTCCCTCAATCGATTTTTGTTGGGGAGTTTTCGACTCCGGCTGGTCGATTTTCGATTTGGGTTTGGTGCCTGTTCGAACTCCCCACCTGGATCAACCAGTTTGCTACCCCGCTTTTGGGTATGTATATCTGTGTTGTTACTTTGTGTTGGGGGGTTACAATTTGATCAGGTGGTTCTGTACGTGTTTGAACCCGCTGGTGTCTTTTCGGTGTACAGCCCCTTTGTGATCAATTTGCACCACGCCGAAAAATAGGGAACCCTAGCAGCTGCTGCTTTGTGTCATGCACTTTCATGTACTTAGCATATGTAAGTTGAAGCAACGGAAGCTGAACTGTGAACGTGGTTTGTACTTGTACATTAGTTGTTCACAGGTAGGACCCGGAAATTCATTGGTCCGTTGCCGTTTTGCTTCAAGCTTGCATATCGTACTTCTTCCCTCCACCTTCCCCTTGCTCCACCGTCTGTGGGTATTGTGGTGGTGAGTAGGGTGCCTGTTCGAACTCCCCACCTGGATCAACCAGTTTGCTACCCCGCTTTCGGGTATGTACACCTGTGTTGTTACTTTGTGTTGGGGGGTTACAATTTGATCAGGTGGTTCTGTACGTGTTTGAACCCGCTGGTATCTTTTCGGTGTACAGCCCCCTTTGTGATCAATTTGCACCACGCCGAAAAATAGGGAACCCTAGCAGCTGCTGCTTTGTGTCATGCACTTTCATGTACTTAGCATATGTAAGTTGAAGCAACGGAAGTTGAACTGTGAACGTGCTTCTCCCGCGCATTTTCGGGACCCTCTCTCTCCCCTTCTCTCTCTTTCTCCCTCTCCCTCCTTCTCTGCCTCCTCCACTCTCCTCCGCTCTCCCCCTCTCTTTCCGCCTTTCTGCCTCCCTCACCCTCCCTCTCTATTCCCCTCTCTCCCTCTCTCTCCCTCTCTCCCCCTTCTCCCCTCCTTCCACATCTCTCATAGGCAATGGAGGTGGGGGGTGGGGTGGCGGTGGTAGGCTCTCATGGTCAAAGCGGGGGATGGCCAAAAGTCACAGGGAAACCTTCTGCCAAACTCGCTTATGGAAAAATAATACTTAGCCGAGGCCAACGATTTAAAATTCGATCCCAATGCAGTGAACTTGGAAGTTGGAAGCATGGACATTGCACGCAAACAACAACAAAAATGTTTCTACGGGGGAGTTCGTTTCGTCATGTTTTGTCACAACGTGTTTGTCATGGCAGTGGCACTTGGGGTAGGAACTCCGGTGACTGGTAGCATGTTGTTTGACACATGTGGTCGAAATCTTGATTGGCATTATAGCGCAGTTTCCCCACTATCGTCCATGCACACGGCCCAAACAACAAACATATCGTCCTACGCATGACATCTCGTGACCACATCTGTTAAAAATCAAATTGAATGATTGATATATTCACGTCGCTTCGCGACGGCAACCGCCCGCACCGCATCGTTGGGCAGCCGCTCGTAACTGCCAATGATGTCGGCCATTGAGACCAAAAACATCCGAAAGTACTGATTGTCGGAAAAAAAACCGCGAAGAATTTGATAGCCATGTATAGCGGACCAACGCAGTTCAAAAAATAACGAAAAACATGAAAAAACGGCGAAATTGCTGTTATTTACAGTGTTTTTGCGCGGTGAGAAGCAGAAACCACTGCAAATACCATGGTTTTTGAGGGTCAGGTGGCCAAAAACACTGTAATTTACAGTGTTTTTTTAACCAACGTCAAAAAACACTGGTATTTACGATGTTTTCATTCACACCGTAACATAAAACAGCGTAATTTACGAGGTTTTTGGAAGTTTTGAAGCTAGCCGTCAAGCATGCAGAAAACAGAAAAACACTGTAAAAACCAGTGTTTCTGCTATCACAAAACGACGAAAATCAGTCCGAAAACGGGTCCAAAAACTCAAAAATCCGCCTCCGGGCCCGGCCACCTGCGGAACCGCAAAAAAAGATGTTGCAAACCAAAAAATTGAGGTCAAAAAGTTGAAAAACACGGGTTTTTTTTCACTTTTCGCTTGCCGATTTTGGACGGGCGCGTTCACGAACAGGTGTCTTCCGTACTGTTTTTTACAGTGTTTTTTGAAGGCGAGCGTCACGACCTATCAAAAACAGGAGGTTTTGGCCGAAAAATGCCCCCCCCCCCCCAGGTAAACCTGTAACCTTTTACGAGTGCCATCCGGAAGATCACGCCCCAGCACCTTCGGTGCGGGCGGATTTTATTCTATTTTGTTTATTGACCGTTATTAATCGAAACATCCTGTGTATTATGCAGCATTTTTGGCGACAATGGCGAAGGGCGGGGAGTGGGACATCGATTGGTCATGGAGCTGCAGTTTGGAGGACGCGCGAAATTGTTGTTGTGCCTTGCATGCAGTGATAATGTTAACCCCGGATAAATGTACCCATGGTTTTTTTAATTGGGAACATATATTTTAATAACAAATTAACACAAAATAACACAATTTGCCAAGGTATTCCTGAGTTAATCATCCTGGGTTTACTAATCCGAATTGACATTTGAACATTGGCCACTAGCATTTTGAATCCTCACGTTTTGCCGCATCACATCACAGGACTTCCGGGAATACGATCCAGATGTGCAGGTGCCCAATATGCCAAAATCATCCAAAATCAACCAGTTTGTCTGAATACAAAATCATATTCACGTTTTTTCTTTTTTCAAATTTCATCGGATCAGTTGCTTTCCTCACGATCACTGCTTCTGCAGATTGGAAGTCCACGGTCATTGGCAGCATGTGATGCCCAGGGCATCCTTCCGAAAGACACTTGGTTGCCGCATATACCGCACAAAAGAACGTGTTGCAGCAAATACACACTTGGGATCCTTGTTTCGCCAATGCAAAATGGATTGTTTTTCCTTTTTTGAATGTTTACAATTGTGTTTTTATTTTTTAATGTGCAATTTTCGTTTCAAACGGAATGGTCTTGTCTTGGACCAGCCGCAGCCAGGATTTGGCATACAAACCATTGGAGGTCTTCCAGCTTCCAGGTGGAACGGCAAAAACATGTTTTTTTTTTCATTTTTGTCAGATCCGTGTTTCGGAAATTCCCTGCCATTCAGAAAGGCCATGTGTTTTGCCTCCAACTTTAGTTGCCACGGAGGTTTGGACCCTCGAGTTGCGCAACTGCGTTATGAATTTATGGAGGCATCGGCTACGAATTTTTACCCAGACCCAACCTCTCTCCCATTGGGTGCGTGGTGGCGTGGTGCTACAAAGAAATTTGATCAACTCACACGTTTGTCAATTTGAATAATTACAATTTGCTTCCACTTGTATTCATTTGTGACTGTGTTTTTCTGGTACATTTGAAACTACATGCATGATTTTGTGTATTTTTATTCAACATGTTGATACATTGGTTCTCGCAAGATTGCTCAATGACACAGAAAACCAATCGTTTATGAGATCAGCATTCAGCAGGCGCGACGGCAAGATCTCATTGAGGCTGCACGAGAGACGCTGTGGTCTCGGGGATCGTTTTCAAATTGGGTCATTTTTTCTTCATATCAGCTACCTTCGGATCCTGGTTTGGAATGATATGATACCGTATGATACCTCTATTGACTGCATTGAATCATCCGTGTTCACAAACTGTTCTCAATCAATTATAGAAACGAGAGCCTAAACATATTATTTTAGTTTCGTTTGAACAACTGAAAGGAACCGGTGATTGCTTGACGCTGGTTCCAAGGCGCGAAATCATTATTGAACTTGCTGATGAGGCAGACCGCCCGGCACATAGAATTGACAGATATCTCCAGATACATAGAATTTATAGTGACCCGCAATGATGGGACCTCCATTCCCATAATCTTCCCATATATTTTTTCTTTTGGGAGTAGTAGGGGAGTAATATGGGAATGGGGGTCCCAGCATTGGGGGTCCTTATAGATTCCAGTAACCCGGTGAACAGCCAGTCATTGAAAGATGGAACGCAGTGTGGCAGATTTCAAAATTGCAGATTCAGGAGGTTCGTGCACCGATTTAGCTTGCATTTGTGATTTCACATTTTTTTGATGGGAAGTCGTGCGATCTTTTCAGAGACAATACATTGTGTTGCCGAAGTTGTTTTGTAGTGTAGATTCAACAAACGGCAGTGAATTACTTTGTGTTGTCCGTATTCTGCTGAGCTCCATACTCCATACATTGTTAGGAACTCATGCCTGTATACATGTTCTTTGTATAATAGCGCAACACATGGGCTGGACATGACGCTGCACCACAAAACAATAGCGTTGTCAATCCAGTAGATGCATACATATCACTATCACGTTGCAACAGCACTCTGAATGCCAAAAGCCTTACACCTCTACACAAGCAAAGCGGATGATGGGCTTGGGCTCGTGAATCCTCTTCGGTTTGGATCATTGGACCCATTGGATGTTGAACAGCACTTTTTGTGACTTGTCGCAAGCAGTTCCGTGTGTAAACGATCTGGATTAGAAAATTTGTCTGCGAACAAGTCAGACGTCATACGTTAGATTCATTAGATATTCCCGTCTCCACCTTCATACATAAATCAGACAAATATGACTACGACACAAAATGACTCATGCACCGACTACCCACCAGGTCTGTCAATGTTTTCTAGTGATGTCACGAGTTTGTGACAATCATAGAGGCCACTGCCAGGATTTCAAGAAACAAACACCTCCGAGGAGCGGAAACAGCAGGAAGCATGGCCAACAAGGTGCAGGACGGAAATCCAATACATTGGGGGGATGCATTGTTCTATTGGCTCGGGGTATTGATTGGTGAGGCATGAAATGGAACCCAACTGGTTGTACATGTTTGAGACAGTCAATGTCTTGTTTATTTAGGCCCTTGGAACCACTGTAGTTCTGATGATCTGCGAAAACATTCCGTCAGTGCTCATAGCATGGATGACACGCACAAAATGGAGAAGTGAAACACTGAAACCATTTTCAGTTGTGTGTAGAAGCATGGACTTGCAATGGAAAATCCATTGACATTCAGGCCCAAAATCACAGGTGAAAACAGATGCGCCTGTGCCGTGTGAATCTTTGCATGGTAGCGGAGCATTGGCTCTGACTTGCTCCGTGGTTTTCGTTTGGCTCTGGTTGGAGGAACGGGACTGGTTTCGGTGGTGGACTGCAAGTGACGCTGGTTTACAGGTTGCAGTTTACTTTTCTGGGATTGGTCTTAAAAAGCTCTGGCTGGTGGTGACAGGAAGTTTCTTGGCCTTGCAGGTGACGTTGCATCAGTGTTTACACGGTTGCAGGTGTTTACAGTTTCAACTTGCTGGCGTGTTTCAATTGGCGGCAGATTGCACTCTGGGAGTGACACCAGGAAGCAATGTCAGGTTTGGATCCAAGCATCATACAAACAAACCGCCCTCCTTCAAGTGGCGGAGGCAACCAAAGCTGCCTCTGAGGCAGCCAGAGCTGTGCAATTGGCGCAGCAGAAAGGTGGTGCTGGGAGCTCTTCCACAGCTTCAACGTCAGTAGATTGGAGCAAACTAGTGAACAAGCCGCCGATCTTCGAACATGCCACAGTTGAGGCTGAAATCAAAGCCTTTCGTGACTGGAGTTGGCAAGTTTCCCAATACCTTGCTACCATTGACAGTTCGTATGATGATGAACTGAAGAAGGTCTTCGACAACCCTTCCTCAAAGTTGGACATGGAAAGTGCTTCGGTGGAAACAAGGACAAGGAACATGATACTGTATGGCCTTCTCGCCTCACTGGTGAGAGGAAAGGCCCTCAACATTGTGAAAATGGTTGGCACTTCAGATGGATATGAAGCCCTACGTCACATGGTGTTAGCACTTCGCCCCAACAACAACAACAACAACAAAACAACAAACAACCGACAACGACAATGACAACAACAACAACAACAGCAGCAGCAGCAACAACAACAGAGGGCTTGCTTTGCTAACAGCGGCCACGTCATGGCCAGCTTCCAACATGGAACTTCCCCTACGGCCTCAAATCCGGAAATTAGAAGAGATTTTTGAAAAGTCTCGCTAAAGTGCTAAAGTGGTACCTGGTACAGACATACAAGATGCTGTGAAATCGGCAATACTCATGCGCTGTGTGACGGGTCAGCTGCATACCTATTTGAACTTGGGTGCCCAGGAGAACATGAACTACAGTGCCTTGAGGGAGCAGTGTCTACGATGGGATCGTGCACAGCAATGTTGTCTGGCTTGGTTTCAGGGAGTGAGCAGATAGTTCTATGGAAGTTGACAGGAGCAAGGGCAAAGGCAAACGATCCAATCAGTCGAAGGGCTATGGTGGTAAGCCAAAAGGAAGGGGTGACAAAGGTAAAGGTGATGCAAAAGGAAAGAACAAAGGGAAAGATGGAAAAGGAAAGTCAAAGAAGGGTCAAGACAAAGGAAAAGGCAAGTCAGAGGATCGATCCAAGGGCAAAGGCAACGGTGACAAACAGTGTCACACGCGTGGGCGCTATGGGCATTTTGCCCGAGGCCCGAGACTGTTGGCAGAACCAGCAGGTGAGAGCTATTCCCATAGTTCAGTGCAGCAGTCTTCAGATACAATGACAACTCATAAAAACGTTGTGCAAGGTTCTCCATTGTCTTCAGCTGATGGTAGCTTCACTCAGGCGTCTGGTGCTTCAATTCAGCATCAACAAAGCCAACAGCAAGGGCAGTCTTCTCAGTACCAAGTTGCACGAACTGTGGAGGATGGTTCATGTGATTTGGTTTTTGATTATCTGGTGGTACATGTGACGATGGGCATTTGCGTGTTGTGCAATTTCACCTTGGTGATGATGATGAAGAGGTGGAACCAACAGAATTTCCAGCAGTGTCAGGGCAATTGTGGAGGAGATCGCTGGCGACTCCACACTCGAAGTTATCTTGTTGGACTCAGGTGCAGATGCCTCAGTGTTTATATGAGCCTCATGAATGTAGGCCTTCCACTCAATACCAAGGGTGCCAAGCTGTGCGACGCTCAGGGCAAACAGATTGCTGTGGAGAGCATGCGTTTGGTGGAGATCAGACTTCCCACTACTGCAGGTAGAACAGTGGTGTTGAAGGAACGTGTGGCCATCTCGTCAAGGGTCACACAGCCCATACCCTGCTTTGGATATCTCTTGGAACACGGATTTGCCATCGATGGTGTGGAGCAAGCCTTAATCCATGCCAGTGGCAAGATCAACATTCCCTTGCAGATGCAAAACAAAAGTATGACTATTTTGGGACATGTTCGAGTTCTTCTGTCTGCACCTGGCCAGGATCAATTGCAGTTGGTTCGAGCGGTGAGAGCTGAGGTCATGGATGGTCTCATAAATAGCCTCATTGGTTGGACGGTGAGCGACATGGGATACATTGTGGGCAGGCATCTCAGTGATAGCTTTCAAGACCCTTCACTTGCGTTTTCTGCACTCCAAGGGCCACATTACAGAAATACTTAGTGACAGGAGATGATGGTCTTTGGTACAGTTTGGAATTGACAGAACCGTTGAATCTCATTGTGCAGTTGGATGCAAAGTTCCATGACATGAAGGGAAACCGCAGTGTGATCACAATCATCACCGAGGGTGAGAAGTCTCCAAACATGATGGGTTTTCAGTTTGAAGGTGAAGGTCCACAAGCTGTTCACCTTTGAGTTGCGTGATGATCCAGGTGAAGATGTCATGCTTGCGCCTGAAGATGAGGTTCAAGGTGCTGACATTGATGCACCACATCAAGACCAGCAGGGCCAACAAGTTGGTGAGGCCCAAACCGGTAAGGGTGTTCACTCCCTGGTGTTTAAGGTGTGGATCCAGTTCTCGTTTGGCCACATTTGGCTCAAGTTGCGAGCTTTCTTGATTTTTTGCTGTTGCTATGGACGCGTCATAGTGCATTAGCGATTTGCCGCGACTTCAGCTGTATCATCCAATTTCAAGCTTCAGATTGACACACCTTTGTGGATCAACGACTGGTGGGCGCTTTGATGGTCACAGAAAATTTCTTTGTGTGAAAGGGCTAAGTGGGGCTCTTGACAAAATAGCGCTGGCGTTCTCACTTTGGGTGCCATCACAGACGAATAAATAGCTTCTTCAGTAAATTTTCCGCATGGATGACTCAGCTGAACCTCGCATTGTTGTGAAGAGATATCGCAAACCTGTGCCTTCACAATGGGCGCCGCCACAGACAGTGCCTAGACCAGTGCAGCCCAATCCGCCTCACAACTCAGCGATGGCACCTTTCCGAGTGGATGGTATTCCTGGACCATCGCCCTACAGACCTCCGAGGTATTTTGCCTTTAGCTCTGACCCAGCACCACGACCACAGTTTGCAACAAGGTACACTCGTGCAGACCGAGGACTGGATGAACCGGTGCCCAGACCAAGCTTGGCGAGAGCACCGCGCAGTGCTCCATATCCTTCTACTAGCACATATGCAAACGCACCAGCTACTTCCGACTACAGCCAGCAGTACAGTGTTGAGAGTGGTGCTGAAAACACAGGTTTTGCAAGGAGCTCACCAACATATTCTGGGCCTGCTGCATGCTCTGCAGAACTTCCTGGGAAGAAATTGCCCCTGAAGTCTTGCTTTCAATTGCAAAGACAGATTCACCACCAGGAGCGTCAGAAAGTCTTTTTCATGTGGCGACAGCTGCTTGGTCTGGTCAGTTTTCACAGTGATTTGTGCGTCACACTGGAGCGTACAAAATTTCCTGAAGCCCTTGAGCGAAAAATGCTCGACGGATTTGCAGAGTCCACATTGCTGCGGTATTTGGCTGCCACCTTGCAGTTTTTGCAAGCGCTTCAGGATGCTGGCCATAGTCTGGATGCTTTGGAAGCCCACCATATACTGGATATTCTGAGCTCCTCAGTGTCGGATGAGTCAGAGGATCTACCATGTGCCATTAATTTGCTGAAGGCACTCAGGTGGGCTGTGAAAATTCTGGGTTTGCGAGATTTTCCGAATTTGTATACACCCCTGTTCCAGCCTTTTTTGGAGAACCCCAACACTGAGTCCAAAGAAAGCTTGCCATTACCATTAAAATTTTTGGTTTCTTTGGAGTATGGGATAATCGCTCAGCTGGATGATGCATACACAACATTCGTAAAAGGGGCTTTCCTTTTAGCTTTCTGGGCTAGCTTGCGGTTCTCTGATTTACAACATATACAATGGGATACCTTGATTTTCAATGGCTTTTCCTTAAGGGGTGTCTCATATCGTACCAAGACTAGCAAAAAGGGTGTACCCTGGGCCATTGCAGCACGTGGCTTTCTGGGCAGAAATGCCTCACACAATTGGGTGCATCGCTGGCTGGCAGTAGCTGATAGCTTTTGGCAAAAATTTTGTGATGCGTTGGGAGACGAGTTTGTTCCAGATTTCATTTTATTTTCAACACAAGATTTGCAGATCAATGGGCCTATGCCTTACATGCAGGCTCTTCAACTGCTTCGACGTTTTGTAGGAAACCTGCAAGAGTGCTCACCAGCACAGCGCGATCAATACACATTACATTCTCTCAAAACAACGCTGCTTAGCTGGGGGTGCCAAATCCAAGCAAGCACGGAAAGCCGAGCTAGCCAAGGACATCATGTAGTCCCTACTTTGAAATCTGTGAGGCTTTATGGCAGAGACGACGTGTGGGCAGGGTTAACCCTGCAGAGCAACCTCATTGATGTTATTTCTGATGGCTCTTTTCGGCCGCAAATTCCACAACACCGTGGTGGACAAATACCTTTGTCTGAACCTGCAGTCAATTTGCC